CTCCTCCTGAGCTACACCTCTCCCAAGCAGCCCTTCTAAACTTTGGTTCTTTGTTATTCCCTACCTCAGCCCCTTGTCTTTTACCTTCATAATAATTTGCTTCATCTGCCAGGTACTTTATGGAGGTCTGCTTATTCCTCTCTTCTCTGTTTGGTTCAGCATTCAGAGCACAACATCAGGCATAGAGTTAAGTGTGGGACAAGTGTGAACTCATGTAATCCTCACATATGCTGCACTGGGCCCCCTTGTCTATGTTACAGATGAGGACACTTCATGCCAAGGATACCCTATGCCGGGTGAGGAGACAGCCTTTAGGCAGGGGGCAATTGTGGTACAATTCCCCTGAACAGGGAAGCGTATCACTTCACCCTGATGTGCCACAAGCAATCACCACTCACTCCGAGGCTGTATTCTGTACCTCGCCGCATTCCCTTCACCAGCCCGAGCTCCAAATTACCCTGGGAGTGAGGGCCATCTGACAGCCAGGTGCTGCACATCACATTCCTGCAGCACAGACACCCCCCTCCACCCTCCCTTCTCCCTCACCACATGGCCTCCCAAATCCCCTTGTCTGTCACAGCGCTAATTCACAAAGGGCAGAATCAGGAGAAGTGGTGGGTGACAGAATAAGAGTTTAGTTGACATACTGAAGAACATATTTTTCATAGCTACCTTTTAATTTCACATCAGAAAACTAGCAAATCAAAAACGTGATTTCAGATACCATACAGTGATACACAACGTAATTAAATACAGTAAGCCCGTTTAAAGAAAATGATTATGCAAACAGCACAGGTAGTGCACAGGGTGAGGGTGGGGTGTAGATGGCTCATGCCTGGGGAACCGTGCTGGCCCACACCCTAGGACCCCTCAGCAGGACAAAGGTCAGGGTGAGGCTGCATGGAGAGCTGCATTCAAGTGCCCCTCTTTCCACAAGCATGCCTTCGGGGTCTCACCCTACCTCAGCTTCTCTAGGCACTCGGTCAACAGAACAGGTCTTTTACTAGGGGGCAATTCTACTACTTCTTTAAAAAAAAAAAATGATTTGCTACACATTGCTACAATATCATTATAAACTATGATAAGTGCTTTAAATGAATGAGTTTGCAAGTGGCCAGGACCAGATCACCTTAGATGTGGCACATCAAAGTAGAGGGTTTGAATCCTATTCTAAATGCAGTAAGAAGCCACTGAAGGCTTAACAAGAGAAGCATCAGGATTCTATTTACCTAGTTGCTGGGTGGTGGCTGATTTGGGAGGCTGCAGGAATTCAGGCAGATTCTTAGAAAGCTACTGCAGTAATCCAGGAGGCTTGGCCCAGGACACGGCTGTGACGATGGAGAGAACGATGGGATAGACATAATGTCTAGCACAACGCTATGCAAACATTTGCTCAACAAACATGTACTAAGCAACTCCAGGGCTCTGAAGTTTTACGGGTAAACAAGATATAACCCTAGCCTCATGGAACTTACTTGTGGGGCAAAGGGGCAACAGTAAACAAACAAACAAACAACACCAATAAAAACTCAGGCAGTGAGTGACAGGTGCTCTGTTGAAAACAGGGAAAGGTGACTAGGGGACCACTTAGGGGGTCAGGATGGGCCACTAGGATGAGATAACAAATTTCATGAAAACTTGCACTTAGAATCAATAAATGATACCCACTTAACGTCATTACCATTGGTACAAAACCAAGTACTGGGTAAAGCCTCTGTGATCGAAACTGCTTAAATGTCTCAATATTCTTCCTTAATTAACTCTCTAAGAGGATCACACTTGGATGCCCATTTTAAAAACAGATGAGCCACCTAGCTGCCTCTCACACATCCCATCTAACCTTCCTGTTTCCTGTAAGGGGAGTTAGGTTTCTGAGGCTTCAAGAAAACATGGGGTGCCTCCAACAAACACTGAAACACCCCCTGTAACAAATCACTCTGTAACAAATCACTCTGTAACAAAATCTATCTAGCTGGGATACAAAGAGACAGGCAGAAGGTTTATTTTTACCTGCTCTCAACTTCTAACTTCAAGTAACTTCAGTTACCTGTAAGCGGTAAACTGCATGAGCATAATGCGCTCTGCAGGTGACTGACGACCCTTAGCACAAACCAGTGCTGAACCCAGCTGGAGGCTGAGTCAACAGAAAATGTCTCCTGAGAGACACAAGGGAGATTCCAGGCAGCATAAAACATGTCTGTGTTCTAACCCTTGTTTGTATCTTCTATGTCAAGGGTACTAAGTATCTGCTTGAGTATGTCTGCTACACTGAAGATGGAGTTTTATGCGCCATGGCCTAAAGGGGCCGCGAACAACAGGCTCATTTTATAAATACTGCAAGAAAGAAATGCAGTTTCAAAAACAAAGTTATCTTTCAGAGCAGTCCTGCCCTCCCTCCCCCAGCACCATGTATCTGGTTCATGCCTAACAACTCTACATCACACAACTTTCTTATTACAGAGGGTACATTTTGCAACAAAATTTCAGGCTGATGGCTCACCGGGAAGCAATGTGTGCACACACCTCTCCAGCGATTTTCCTGGAGGAACCAGGATTTCCAGCGTGCAGGAACCTCTACTTTGAAAATGGAAGAGGCCCACAACTTCTTGGCCCTCCTCTGTGGCAGAAAACTCTGCTCCAGGAAACCAATTTGACAATAAATTTCATATATTGAAAAAAAAAAA